TATAAAACTATTATCTTCAGTGTATATCTAAAAGTATATTTATTTCATGTATAATTTATAGCTTTACAGAAGCTTAAATACTACAAACTAACATTAAATGTACCCATAAATTAATTTGACATGACAGAGACAATTCATTTTACTAATGAAGTCATTGCCAGAAATTTTTGTTCAACTCAATTTTGGTAATTAAAGTTAATTTTTAAATTAACATGGAAGAGAATACGAGTATCTCGAAAAGATGCACGAGTTTTTAAAAATTTGAAAACATTCAAAGCATTCCCAACAATTAAAAACTTGAATGTAAGATAGCAGATACATTTACGAGGGTTCTCAACAAATTCTCTAGCCTCAAGCGAAAGGTTGCTTAGCGCTTGATAAAAACAATGTCTAACTTCTTTGGAGTCTAATTATAAAGGCAGCCCAAAGACATTGACGACGTCAACCAAGACAACACGTAATTGTGTCAACGTAACCAAGTCACTGAATTCCAGTAGCAATAATTTTTAATGAATGCGTTCAAATAGTTGTCATTTAAAATGGGACAACTATGAACCCAAAACAGAGATAGTGCAATCCATCTGTCCTTCGTCAAGTCAACGTAATCGTGTGAATTCTTGTAGCACATAAAAAATATACATAGTAGAGAATAAGTAAGTAAGTAATATTAAAAACAGAATTATAAAAAATAAAAAATAATAATAAAAATATATTCTAAGATAGCTTCACGGGTAATGAAAACAAAGCAACTTTTATAGGTAAGCAAAAAACAAACTAAATTGGGGAGTACTCATGTCAATCATAATGTTAAGAAAGTAATATCTAGTATCAATTATTAATACAACATACTATACAATATACATTCATATAGTACTATATTATAATATTCTACAACGAATTTTCTTTCTATTTTAATTTACTATTAAATTAATAGCCAACAAGCCCAGGAATCTATCCTTACTTTAGTTTTTAATTCCACATCACTGACTAATATTTTTAAGTATCTCTGCCGGCATATAAAGGCTTAATAATTACAAATAGTGCTCGTCTTAATTTGTGGCTCAATTAAATGCGGTGTAACTAATGTCACACGTGCCGTTCGCATATAATTGCCTAGACATGGGGCATTTCTTGACAGGAAGACGCAGTGTAGAAGCAACATAAAAATTATTTCACTTGAGCAGAATAAACTTAAGAACTCGTTTTGGGTTTTAGTAATTAAGACATCAACATTTCCAGCAATTATAAGAATCTACAGCAATCATCTTTATTCTGCCTAAGTGAGGCATTATGCTCTGCTCATGTGAGTTTTCAGTCGTTTTTCGTTTAGAGATAATCTTACACATTCTCATTTATTTTTGAGCTCAATTGCATTTTACGCTATGATTTGAGTTAATTGTGAAAATATCAGTAGTTAGTTTCCTCTATACATACATAAGAATTATATAAACTTCATAACAATAAGCCTATAATTACTACATACAATGGCTAAGATAGTTGAGGTTCTTAATCCATTTTATGCAACTTGAATACTCATTTGGAGTAGTGTGTACCCAATTGACAATTGTAATTTTAAAATTTATAAAATAAGATGACATTGAAAATCTCCAACCCCAAATCTACATAATACTTCATATAAATTTCTTAGTTCAAACTGCCTTTAATTAAACATAAGTAGTTACTCTATACATACATAAGCACTATATTTGTAAGCTATTGCTTATATACAACTTAAATCGTAAATAGACTGTCTTATTTCGAAATATTTTCATGTGGAGATTTAACTAACTGGTAGACAAGACTCACATAACCACTAAAACTGAGTTCTATGTGATAGCAAAATTATGAAAGTACAATCTCCGCTCTATAACTCTTAATAGAGTAACCTTATTATATTTTTGACTGATTATACAGCCGTTTTGAGTATTGTCAAACACCCATTATTAGTGTCTTTTTGGAATTATTACTTATATTGAATTATTCGTAAATAATTCCTTGAGACTACAAGTACCAACTTTCCAGATTCAGAGAGAGTAAAATAAGCATGACTTTCTCTGTATTACGTTCGTAGATTAGGTTCTATATACAAGTAAGAATAATATAAAATCATGCAATAAATAATACTTCTACCAAAGCATATTATTGAAATAAAACAATTAAAAATAAATATAATTATTTAAGTTAATTAATCAACTGGTTAGTGGTACCACAACAGGTCATTATTTGAGCTCAAGTGAAATTTCTTGGTCACAAAGCCGCCATTCTGCACTAATTTATTATTGAATTTATTATTGAACTTTCACAGCAAATGAGCGAAGCCTCCAAGTCAAAACATCTATGTAAAGTACGGCTTTGGGTCAATTGCCTAATAAGCTCTGACGCTGAGTTTAAAATTTGGCAGGGTGTGAGTTCAACCCTCGGTACTAGCGGTGTTAGAAATTTAATGACGCATAATTAAATATTATAAAATATACTTAAAAGATCGCTGATGATTGGTATTTAGCAATACTCAAAACAGCTGTATGGTCATTGAAAACTTGAATTAATAAAAAATAATAAAATTCTGTTGTTGCAATTCACTACTATTCGAAAATCTCTCTATTGAAAAGTATAATTTATATTAAGAAAATAATTTCTTTAAAAATCAATATAGTATCCATATTTGTGTATATAAATATTTATATAGCTAAGGCCTAAACAAGGGGTCCTATTGTGAAACCACATTTAAAAATACATGGCAGCTGCACGAAGCAGCTTGATTAAAGACATTCCTTTTTGTATTAAAAAGCCACTTTGTCTTTTCTATATATTATGCAATGCATTCAATATATATACTTTAAATATCGGTCAAATAATAAAGAAGAGTTGACTTTATAGTAGGCATGACTTTCAGACTTTCTCCTGTGTTCTATATATGTAGAGATTTAGTCTATGTACGCACCAAAGCTATTCTTGTGTTACCACAATGGCTCATTAATTGACCTCAAGTGTGGTTTCTTGGATACAAGGCCGCCATTTCAACCTACCTTACATATAATATATACTTCTAAGTATTAATTATGCTAATATTTTAAGTTGAATTAAAAATTTAATTAGTTACTAATTTTATTTCAATAAAAATTATAAAATTATAAATCAATCCATGCAAATAACCAATATTGGTTCGTCTTGTCTTAATGTTGATCATGTTATTCAAAATATTTAATTAAGGATATTAAATCTTTGTTAACAAATTTTATTTATTTTAAAAAACAAAATTTTAAACATAAACTATTAAATTTTAATTAAAGTAAAGAAAAATATTGGAGAAATCGGGCGATGTCGCCTTTCAAAATTATTGTGACATTAAATTATTTAAAAAATTCGAAACCTAAGAACTTCAATGTTTCAACGAACAAAATGAAAACAAATTATTGACGAGGAAAAATTTTGTATCTAACATTAGAAAACTTGTATGTTTTACAGCCAATAAAATTGCATTTTTCACATAATAGAGCAAAAGCCATAAAGTTTCGGTGTCGGTACACATTTGGAAAATTATGGCAGCTGCTCATGTTGGCAACTAACGTGTCTCAATGCCCGATGCTCTGGGTTCATAGCTCCACTACGACTGCCTTTACGATTTTGTGACAAGCGCATATAAAAAGAAAAATATTTTGTTGTAAAATGTGAAATCACATAAATACCAACATCAGATACTATATGCACTTATAAAAATTTTTAATCGTCATAAAAATTACCAGAATTTGTCCGAATGCTTGGATGAGGCATGCCTAAATCTCAAATGGAATTTCTGGAATATATTCACACGTTGTAGCTGCACTCGACACAGAATTAGTTTTATGAAACCAAAAGAGATTGGAGAGCTTCTATGCGCTATAAAAGCTGGTAACAATGGATGAAATCATAAAACATAATTACAGTTTCAGTCGGTTGAATAAAGCATGAAGATTATATGAAATGTACCAAATATGCGTATTAGACGCATTGTGCGGTGATGAGTCCACTTAAGCAGTTATTTATGTAAAGTTCGGTTTAATTCCTATGTTAGAATTTCAGTTTATGTTCAATGCTCTGGTGTTGTGAACTCATCAGGCTTAGTATTAGACCGGAGCTCGAATACACAGAATAACAGCATCAGAATTTTTTATTAAAAAACTCAATGCAGAGACGTAAATTTTCTCACATGACTTTTATTGTAACTGAAGATTTGTTGTTGTTGTTGTTGTTGTTGTTGTTGTTCATGTTAGGTATGCTGTATTGTTTTTCATATTTACCTTAGTTCATTTCACAGTTTTTATGATTTTCTCCCTACACACACGCCTTTTAAATGCTATTTTATGTAGTTTCATATGCTTTCTTATTGCCATAAATGTATATCACACTTGACTTGTGTATCATACTTGACCCAAATGTGTGCGTTTATGCATAAATGGGGTCATAAAATTCGTACAGGACTACATTGTTCCTTTGCAGGCAAGAAGGATTTACATTGTTTTCGGTTTCGGTTTCGGTTGCTATTTGTGCACATATTTTTAATATGTTAGCTTTAGTGCCTCTCTGCAGAGTATTTCTTAGTTACCTCACATTATTGTTTGAACTTTTGTTATGATTTACCTCATCGTATTCACGTCATATCAAGTTGGGTCAAGTATGCATACGATTTTCGAATTCCTTCAATAAAAACCAAAATACTGACATGAGTGTGTAAATAGGTTTTGTTGCTTACACATAAAATAAAAAACAAAACTACTAAAACAAAAATTTATCGGTATAATAATAAAACAGAGAAGTTGAAATGAATTAAATGTACTTACATTAGCACTTTTGACGCCACTCTTCCATATATAAAAATACTTACATACACATAACACACATAGTAGCCCATAGTTTGAAAAGCGCCATCTATCTACAAAAAGTTTAATTAAAACTTCAATATTCTTATTCCTCATCTTTTATAAAAATACAGTCATAATTTAATTTCACTCTTCCATTTATAAAAATACTTACCTAAACATAACATATATAACATAGTAGCCTATAGTTTGAAAAGCGCCATCTATCTACAAAAAGTTTAATTAAACTTTTATATTCTTATTCCTCATCTTTTATAA